GGAATTATGTTTTTTTATTTTTAAATATATATTTAGATTATAGATAATTCTTATCATTGTTATTAATTTAAATCATTTATCTAATCAAATAAATATTAATTTCGTTTTTATTATTGGATGATTTATATATTTATTCATTAAGGGTATAAACGATATTAACCACTCTAACTTTTAACGTGGGAGCTCCGTTGCGAAAAATCATTATATTATATTATTATATTATTATATTCTTTTAATTTGAAAATAATTTACCTATTATAATTTTTTAATTTTGTATTTTCAATTATATACAATTAAAAATTTTACTTTATGAATATTTATTTATGTGTTTTCTGTTTTTGAATTTTTTGACTAAATATATTTTTTGGATAACAACACAATATATATAGGAATTATGTTTTTTTATTTTTAAATATATATTTAGATTATAGATAATTCTTATCATTGTTATTAATTTAAATAATTTATCTAATCAAATAAATATTAATTTCGTTTTTATTATTGGATGATTTATATATTTATTCATTAAGGGTATAAACGATATTAACCACTCTAACTTTTAACGTGGGAGCTCCGTTGCGAAAAATCATTATATTATATTCTTTTAATTTGAAAATAATTTACGTATTATAATTTTTTAATTTTGTATTTTCAATTATATACAATTAAAAATTTTACTTTATGAATATTTATTTATGTGTTTTCTGTTTTTGAATTTTTTGACTAAATATATTTTTTTGGATAACAACACAATATATATAGGAATTATGTTTTTTTATTTTTAAATATATATTTAGATTATAGATAATTCTTATCATTGTTATTAATTTAAATCATTTATCTAATCAAATAAATATTAATTTCGTTTTTATTATTGGATGATTTATATATTTATTCATTAAGGGTATAAACGATATTAACCACTCTAACTTNATATATATAGGAATTATGTTTTTTTATTTTTAAATATATATTTAGATTATAGATAATTCTTATCATTGTTATTAATTTAAATCATTTATCTAATCAAATAAATATTAATTTCGTTTTTATTATTGGATGATTTATATATTTATTCATTAAGGGTATAAACGATATTAACCACTCTAACTTTTAACGTGGGAGCTCCGTTCCGAAAAATCACTTCGCAAATAATAGTATAGATAGATATTGAATTGAGTTTTTGAATTGAATAGGGTCTGTGCGGATCATGCTGGTCGTTTAGCACCACAGGAGCTCTTGAAGGAGCACATTTTCTAGCGACTAAAGAGCTTGTTAGCCTCAGCGAACAGCAGCTCATAGATTGCGACCATACGGTTTGTTTTGTCTAATGATCATTGTCTGGTTCTTTAGCTCCTAAAGGTGTCTTGTTCATGCAGTGTGATCCACAACAAGCTAATTCATGTGACGCTGGTTGCCGTGGAGGACTAATGAACAATGCTTTTGAGTACACACTCAAAACTGGTGGTCTTATGAAGGAACAAGACTATCCTTATACAGGACGTGACCATTCCGTCTGCAAGTTTAACAAGACCATGATCGCCGCGATGGTGTCTAATTTCAGCGTTGTCTCTGCGGATGAAGACCAAATCGCTGCAAATCTAGTCCAGCACGGTCCTCTAGCTAGTAAGTTCTTTACAAAACGCTTTTCGATTTGTACAAATAGAGATCTAACACTGTTGTCTTTGCTTCAGTTGCTATCAATGCATTGTGGATGCAAACTTACATAGGAGGAGTGTCGTGTCCGTATGTATGTTCCAAGAACCAAAACCATGGAGTGCTTTTGGTTGGGTTTGGTTCAGCGGGTTATGCACCACTCCGTCTTGAGGAGAAGCCTTACTGGATCATAAAGAACTCATGGGGATCCTTGTGGGGAGAGAAGGGTTACTACAAAATCTGCAGGGGAAGTGATAACATCTGTGGTGTGGACACAATGGTATCTACCGTTGCTGCTGTTCATACCATACCTCAGTAGGAATATTAGGACACTACTGGGTTTTACCTGTCCTTGTATATATGTATCTGTATAATCACTATAGACTGTTACTATTAGTATATCTGTCTCTTTGTTAAGAAATATGATATGGTTATTATAAGATGGAATAATACAAGTTGTGTATTATGTTTGAAGCTCGTATATATAATTATTCTTGGTTTAATCTTGGTCAAATACAAGGACTTGTTCTAAGAACAACAAAGATCAAACTGTTTAGTTACATCGTTAAACCTACAAGGTCCGGTTTGTCTTATCTTCCACACACTCTTTTGGCACCAGTCATCACCGGCGCTCTCTCAGTGGTCTTCCTATATGCTGAAAGAAAACCTTCCATTTGGCAAAACATAAGTACAGGAAAACAATTTCTTTCCGAAGAATTGACGCCGGAATCTAAACGACCACGACTTACCTGGTTGCAAACTCCGGTCACCAAAATCATCGTCTTTTGATTTACAGTGATACTTCAACGTTAGTGTGTTGCCGCCAAGATCGTTGATGATCTTTACAGTTATCTTTCCGAAAGCAAGAAACACAGATTCTGTTGTTGATGGACCGTTTGGAACTGGCATGCTATGTTTGGTGTCGGCATGTGACGTATTTGTATTTATGAAGATGATCAATATGAAGTGTGATAGGTACTGTTTTGGAATATCCATCCTTTCACTTTCAGTACAGGAGATAGTGTTTCAGCTAACACAACGCTATTTTATACAGTAATGTGACGATTATTTCTACCAGATTTTATTAAATGAGTACAGATTCCTGGAAAGGAGATAGTGTTTTAGCTAACACAACGCTATTTTATATACAGTAATGTGAAGATTATTTCTACCAGATTTATTAAATGAGTACAGATTCCTTCTTTCCAGTTAAGCACATGTCTTCTTCAACTGAGACGGGAATCTCACCCTACTTTAATTGCTGAGCGTTACACTTGAGAAACAAACAAAGATATTATTCAAGAGAGAGTACAAAGTATTATGTAAGATAAAAACATATGTTATCTATAACTTGGAAGAAGGTTTCTTGGATCCACGTGCAGCTATGAACTCCTGCATCTTCTTAAACTGTTCCTTTGTCATCCCACTGTAGTAGGCGTGAGCTCGCTCCTGCGAGTTTTAGATTATTTCAGTCACACATGGAACAAAAAGGGACACGAAGACGTAGATAGATTGTTAAAAATGGTAAAAAAGGTTTTGTACCTTTTCGAGAGTAAGAGCATGACCAAGATCAAGCTTGAGTCCATCATTGATGACGGATTTAATCCGCAGAACCATGCCCTGTTCATTCTTGATGATCGCCTCTGCGATTTCTTTAGCTTTCTTCAAGGCTTCTCCTTCTTCAACCACATGGTTTACAAACCCTAACTTCTCAGCCACGTCAGCTGTCAACGGCATCGATGTTAAAGAAACTTCACGAGCTTTGTTTGCTCCAATGATCCTTGACAGCTTCTGAGACAGTCCCCAAGAAGGGAATATCCCAAACCTTTATACAAAGAAAACAGAGGATCCGATTAAGAGCCTATTCCCTTGAAACGACGTCGTAAAATTAGAAAGAAACGAACCTGGCGTGGGTATCCATGAACTTAGCGCCTCTGGACGCGACGAGTATATCGCAGGCCAAGGCTAACTCGAACCCGGCGGTGATGGCGAAACCGTTAATTGCTCCGATGATCGGTTTTCTCAACCGCTCCATCTGAATTACCGGGTCGGTCTCCGGATCCTTCACGTCACCCTTGAAAACAGACTCCGCGGCAGTCAAATCAACGCCGGAGCAGAAAGATTTACCCGCTCCGGTGAAAATCACGACCTGGACAGACTCATCGGCGTCCATCTCCTTGAATGCACGCGCGAGATCCACCATCATCGCTCTCGTGAGAGAATTGAGAGATTTCGGACGGTTGATTGTGATGATGGCGATCCCGCCTGATTCCTTGTTCACTTGGATGAGATCCATTTTAGCCGATTTCGATCAGTTTCGAGCTTTCGCGATTGAATATGAGCAACAAATAGTCAATGAAGAAGAGATGTCGAAGAGCCTCGGTTACTGTGCCATTGTTTTGTCGTTAGTAAACTTCATCCCGTTTGTGCTCAAGTAGGACGCTGCGTGTTTCATTTCTGGAACATGAAAGCGGTGAGTCAATTAAATCAACCGGCGGAAATACAACGAACCCTCTGTAAACCGCTCTGCATTGTGCTAATCAGCTAAGCAAGTATTTTCTCTAGTGATTGGAATAATATTATACGTTTAAACAATAATTTACTACTCCCTCCCTTCATTTGTTTACAATTTTTTTTTCTAATTCTACAATGATTTATTTTCTAGTTATTTATTTATTTGTCTATTATTATTGGTTAATGCTACTATTTGAAATTAATAGAAAATATCTAGTTCCATCATGTTGGTTCATAGGCTATGGCTGTATCTGGGAACCCAGTGAAATATTTTCTTGGCCTCCAAAATTCTCTAGATAGGTACATGTTTTCAAATTATGGAAAAAAATTATTAAAAACTTTAAAAAATATTTTTACTACTCAAAATCTTATATCGAACTCTGCTCTGGTATAAGAAAGTAAAATTGTATCTAAGAACATGTCTAAAAACACTTTTTGACTTTAAATATGATTTTTTTTTTCATTAAAGAACTTCAAAATTTCAAATTTCAAATTTGCAATTTTATATTTTTTTTTGAGTTTGATCCTTACAATTTCACATCAGATTATGCTTCTTAAATGTTTTGTCGTTTCTCATTTTAATCCTTCAAAATTTGTATATTTCATAAATATTTCAAATTTGTTTTATAAATTTAAATTTTATACATAATAAGAGATAAAAGCTTTAATATATTTAAAAACTAGATTTATACAACAACAATATAACAAAAGAAACTTACAATTTTTTTTTTAAGAAACTACATGAACACAAAATTAAATACTACAACAACACTAGTAGTCAAGTAAATTTGACCTCGAATCTCCAACGCCCCCCCCCCCCCTAAATATTGTCCAAACAAATTGGTTCTTCTTTTTGATGTATTTTCGTCAATAAAGGATACAACATCAGTAGCATAGCAACAGTTGATATGATGAAAAATGAAGATAGCCGATTTCAACCAATTTGAGCTCGTAATCTATAAATTAAAAATAAAGAGAGTCATTTTTACTTTGGATTGCACTAGTTAATCTTTTTTTTTTTTTTTTTTTGTCGGCGACCCATTTTATCTAGATCAAGTGGTAGTCATACAAGTCGATCCTCCGTGGAGTACCTCCGTGTGACCTGGTCTGATCTATATGGGAGAAGATATATCCTTTTCTCCGCGCTTCCTTGGCTAAAGCGTCCGCTCGAGCATTCCTGTTCCGAGGAATATGATACACACTCATATCCTCGAAACCCTCATGTAGTCTCTGGAGCATCTCGATTTCCGTTGCGAAAGCCGACCATTCCTCCGAGTTAGTAAACATATCTACTAGGTCGGAGCAGTCCGTTTCGATCCGTACCGAGGATATTCCCATATGACGCACGCAGGAGACTGCCCAAAGTAGACCTTCCATTTCCGCATGCAGAGCTGATCGTTTCCTTTCACATGCCCTTAATCCAAAGCATTCAGAGCCCATCTGATCCTTAAGACTCCACCCCAAACCACTGACCTTGCCGTGATCAATCCATGATGCATCGATCTGACAGGTTACAGTTTGGGAGGGCTCAGGGACCTCTGTCGCTAACTCCAAAAGGGGAGGACCCACATAGACCTCCTCGTCCTCCTCCCTCGCATTTGCTTTCCTCCAACATTCAGCCTCAAGCGACGCATGTTGGAGAGTATCCATCGGAGAAACGACTTTCCCGTTCAAGAGTATGTCGTTCCTTGCCTTCCAAATGTACCAGCAGATCCATGGGAAGGTATCGAATTGTGGACTCCGAGGAGCCACCTCTTTTCTTTTCCAAAAAAGGAAATTTATATTTTGAAATAAAGATGTACTCGGGAAGACACCCGGAATGGACGGATAGTCCGATAAAGCCCATGCCTGCACGGCTGGGGGGCACTCAAATAGAAGATGGTTAATCGACTCCACTGGGTCAGCACATCTAGGACAACTCCTATCGGTGCCCAGGTGTCTAAAGGTGAGCCTCTCTGCCGTCGCCACACAACCCCGGATCGCTTGCCACAGATTGCACTAGTTAATCATATATGAGAGTATTGCGAAATAATTCTATGGAATAATGTGGTATTTTACTTTATTTAATTATGTATTTTTATGTTAATTTTTTATATTTTAATATAATATTTTCTTAATTAACATTACTATAATATTTTTATATATGTGCTATTTATTTATAAAAAGTATTATGGTAATTTAATTATAAAATACAAACACTTTTAAATTTAAGTTTAAAATTTTATTTTTAAATAAAAATACTTTTAAACTTCAAAATGAATTTACAAAACTTCAAAATAAAATATCATTTGGAGATGCTATAAGAACAAACATTAATACTTTTTAGTATGTATAAAAACTCTATAACATAATTCTGGTAAAACTAACCCTTACTAAATCTTTTTTTTTTTACAACAAAGAACAAAATTATGATATAAGCCCTACCGGTTTAGATAGCCAAACCGGTGGCATGGAATCAACATAAAACACAGCTGAGGGGGAACGCCAAGCAGATAGTGCAAGCTTTTCCGCCATTGAATTATTAGCTCTTGGTATATGTCGAATCGTGAAGGTAGGGAAGAAAGTCTTACTGCGTCGGAACTCTTCCAAGTGTGTACTAAACGCTGGCCAATCACCAATTGAGAAAAATATGTTTCAAAAACAACGTCTGGATAATCAAAGGTCTTCATACACTCCATAGTCCATATCAAAGCTTCACACTCTGCATGTAAAGCGGATAAGCTTCTTCGGAGATTTATCGCCCCCATCATCGTCGCCTCGGAACCCACCTCTCTGAAGTACCATCCTTGTCCCGAGAATATGTGTTACTGAGATTTTAAATACTCCTAAATTTCAGCATTTATTGTTTTGTTTGTCATTTAAAATAAAAATAAAAAATTACCTTAAAAATATATTAATCCTAACTTTTCAACATTAATTATCACTTTGTTATATATAACTACTTTATATATCTTTAAAACATTTTCCTTAAAAATATACAATCAATTAAATTTGTATATGGTCAGCAATAGTGATTGTTTCAGTGATAATATATTTTAACAAAATCTTCTGCAAAGTAAAAAACTAAATAATTGTAAAAATGTATAAAATAACACAACTAATAAGATATAAATTAATATAAAATCATTTTCCAATATCATAAATATTAAGCATATCAATTTCCCATGTCCAAGATAAAATAGTCCATTTATATTATATATAATGACCATTTTCAATTATTTAAACATGTACATGAATAATATAAACTGACATACAAACAAATAATTATTTATTTATAACTTATAATACGCTAAAGATATATTCAATAGAAAAATATATTCCAAACTGTATAAAATAGTATATAATAACAAACAAAACAACATTTAATACAAATAATAAGCTAATGCTAATATAACAATATTTATATATACAACAAATATATAATGTATGTTTTAAAAAGTTAAAACAAACATCTGCATAGGTGTGCGGATTAAAATTTAGTACTAATTAAAATGTAACGAACATATCATAGTTTTCTTCAGGATTAGATTTCCGGCACAGAAAATGTGGTGAAAAAAACATATTCTTCATTTTTTTCAGATAACCCTATTATATGTTTGGCTTTCACTCTGATTATGCTTTAATTTGCAATGGAAAATAAATAGTGACTAAATGTCTTATTATTATATTGTAGAGTAATCTCTTTCATATTTTAATATGACGTAGAAAATGAAATGAAAATAAACTCTATTTTGAAGTAAAAATTGAAATATACTTAGAGATGCTAAAAAACAAAAGTTTTCGCAATTATGCTTTCTCTCATGTAGTTCCTTTAAGCTCAAGTGATATACCTTTGAGGTTACTTCCATCTGAACCTTTTCATAATACTTGGTAATATTATAGAAATTTTTATTACCACTATTTAAAACCAAACATGTTATACCAGATACAGCTTGTTCTGGAAATGATTATTTTAAATGAAGTTCATTAGTAAAATCAATACATAATGTTTTCATACTAAAAAAAAGTTCAACATTTAAGTCCATCAGAACACATAATTTTGTAATACTCTGCAAAAATTTAGCTGTTCACACTAAATTGACTAATGTCATCATTAGAACAAATTAAAGATCGCAAAATGCAATATTTCTATCAAGTCAACGATTCATTATTTTCTCTACAACTGGACGTTGGAGTTCAATTGGAGATTCTTCTATTCGATCACATGATTTCTTGACAATATAGTGAAATAAATAATTGTCTTTTATCTTGACAACAAGTTGAGTTAATTCAAAAGCAGCCACTTGCTTCAGTTTGTGCATCCTATTAATTACTATTTACATCTTTTAAGGAACATATTGTTTATCTACATACAACATTGACTTCTCACAAAGATTTATACTCATTGTTTTTCCCCTTGTCATTTTTAATTACGTAACTCGAGTTTGGTAGAAGTTGCATTGCCGAGTACAATATTTAACTTCTCCATTATCGCAAGAATTTTTAAAAAGTCCCCACGTTCTTTTCATTTTTAACATTATGGAATTTATGTATATAGTATACCAGAACATGTAGGATTTGTGAAGAAATTTAATGTGTTATTTTCTCAAACTTTGATTAAGAAACTCGTGGAGTCCTGTCTCAAAACAAAATGAACAATTTCATTAGGGACTAAAGCAGTTCTACAAGGGTGCAAAGCGACCGTTCATGACTCAATTCCATGTTTAGTAATTAAAATATCTTTTTTCAAAAAATAATAATAATTAAAGTATCTAACTTTCATGCATAATACATTGTCAAGATATATTAAAATATACATTATGTCTCTACATAATACCAATGTTCGGAAACTCGCTAGGCGCTACGCGTTCGGCACATACGGGCCTAGCGATTTATTGAAAAATCGGAAAAAAAATCGGGGAGTACGCAGGGAGGAATTTTTTATACTTTTATATGTATAATACCACATTTCGGGGAGTACGCGGGAGGAATTTTTTATA